TTTAATATTCATATGCAGACATTCCCCTTTGACATCACTTCCTGTCATTTCACATGCAAATATCTCAACAACTGTCCATCTGAGCAATGAGAAATTCATTTCATAATATGTTAATAATGTTGTCTTTCCAAAAATGCGTTCACTTTTCTTAGAAAAAATTGATGTCACAGGCACTTTAAGGTTTCATCTACAGCAAACTGGAGTTAAGACCCCACTGTGGGTCCTAAAACTCCAAATTATGGGATGTTAGAGGATTTCCAGAAATTAAATTAAGTTTAAAACTGACTGCTAAGAATGTTTCTGCCATAGCTGATGAGAAAGCCGTTCGATATGAATAAATACAATTGGTCTATTAGAAATATTTGAATACTTCAAACAAAAATACATTGATTCATGAATTTCTGCCAGTTTTTATTTTCTTTCATTTGTGTTTATTACGAAATTGGTCTTAAATTTAATTTCACTTGGCATTAAAAAGTCTTAAAAGGTCTTAAATTTAACTTGGCTTAAACTGTAGGAACCATGTAGAAAACACTTTTTTGTTTACATTTTTCTTATAAGACATCCAATGAATCGAATGCTTATGTTATTTCTAAGACATCTCCTGTGTATAATCTTCAAGCCAACCTTTCTTTTTCATGGAAGCTAAAGCTAAATTAGGATTCACGTCCTGCAGAAGAATGAAACAGGATCTGTTTTCACATCTCTCTCTCGTTAAACGGTGTCTTATAGCTGAACGGAGTTGTGCCACACGATAATCTGGTCCTGATCAAGATGAAACCCGACGAACACGGGCGCTTCGGCTTCAACGTCAAGGTGAGTAAGCTCTACGTCAAGGGGTAGCGAATGGTTCTTTAACATTTTTGTTCCTTTTTTTTTAAAATAAATCATCACATTCTGGACATWCATCAAGGTGTTTGTTTACCTCCAGGGTGGAGCTGATCAGAAGATGCCAATCATTGTGTCCAGAGTGGCTCCAGGAACCTCCGTAAGTTCAGGARCGGAACTCATTTGAGCCCACCATGAAATCTTTTTCTCGTTGACTAGATTTAATAMTTTAATTGATTCAAACACTCAAAACTGAAACATTCCTTTATCGTTATTTATTTTTTTTGCCTCTTCAGGCTGACCTCTGTGTGCCTCGCCTTAACGAAGGCGACCAGGTGGTCTTTATTAATGGGCGGGACATTTCTGACCACACCCATGACCAGGTGGTCATGTTCATCAAAGCCAGCTGTGAGAGCCACTCGGGGGAGCTCATCCTGTTGGTCAGACCAAATGGTCAGTTCAGTTTGTCGGACGTTTTAAGAATTATCAGATTATTTAAATACGAAGCTGATGTGTAATAAATGAACACCGAACTCCTGAAACKGCTGGTTTTTGTAATTACAAACAGAATCTGTGATGTTTTACTTCCTATAATTCTCAACAAAATGACGTTTTTTTTATTCCGATATAGATGCAGAAAACCTTCCAGTTTATGTTTTGGAGTTTTTCTGTTGGTGTTTTCTTACCTGTGATTGTTTCCTGTGCCCATCAGCCATCTATGACGTCGTGGAGGAGAAGGCGGACTCTGAGCCTGAGTTTCAGTACATCCCCGAGAAGTCCCCTCAGGATCCCGCCCACTTCAACCAGCATGCTTTGAGGGACTCCATGATGACCTTGAAGGAAGGCCTGGGCAGCGGAGCCATACTGGCCCAGTTCGACGTACGAKAAACTCATTTATGCACAACTTTTCTTGCATTGTTGTTGTTTTTACTCATTGTTTCAGTGATGGCTGCTTTAATTATTGAAGATATTTGTTTAAACTTATTTTTAAAAAAATCCTCTTCTTTCCTCCACAGCAACTGTACAGGAAGAGGCCGGGGATGACCATGCAGTGTGCCAAATTACCTCAGAACGTTTCCAAAAACCGCTACAGAGACATTTCTCCTTGTACGTGAGCTCAACATGGCCGCCCGTTTTGTTCTTCTTGTCTCTGCTCATAATGTAAAAACTGATTCAACATTCACACCATTGTTTTATTGTTTAGAGGTTTTTTTTTGCAATCAAGCTTCTTTCACGTTTTATTGTGACCATTCAAATATCAAACTAATCAGTTGGTTTAGGAATAATGTGCAATGTTATTTGCCCCTGCTTTATGTCTATTTCTTGTTTCTCGTTGGTTGAGAAGCTTTGTTTACAAAACAAATATCCACATGGTTTTTAAGTGGTATTTATTTCCTGGTTTCAAGATGCATCAAGTTGATTTAATGTTGCAGTATTGTAACATTATTTATGTAAATATCTTAAACATTAAGGAAGTTGTGAGCAAAAATAGATAATAAAGCAAACTGATCACAAAGGTCTAATTGGTTCAGCTATAAACAATCATCCATAACTTCCTTCATACTTGAGATATCTTTACATAACGTTGGTGTTATTTTAAATCAGAATCAGAATACTTTATTGATCCCCGAGGGAAATTACAGGTTTTACAGCTGCAACCGTTCAGATCAGAGACGTGAAAAGAAAGAAATTAGCACACTAGAATAAAATAAGTATAAACACCCAGGATTATGAAATAAGCACACTTATATACACATAAACAATGTACAAGAATAATAATATAAATATTTAGAAAATGTGTAGAGCGTGTAATAAGAGATGTGTATTGCACGTTTAAGTTTCATGGGTAAAATACAGTAAATTAAATATCAAAGACTAAATAATAAAAATGTACAGATGATCYAGTTTCACATGTTTTGSGAGGTTRTTTTTAGRTGGTTTTTTATCATTTGTCAGATTTGATATTGGTGTGGGATATTAATTTTATTCACATCACTAGATTGAGATTTCTTCAGTACTTTCAGAAACATTGTTCACTGAAATTCACTTGCTCTGTTTTTGTCTTTTAATCCCCCTCTTAGCTACTGTTTTGCTAACTTAGCTATGATTTGGCAGCTTTTAGCCTTTATTTATGGTTTGGCTGCGATGATTGAATCTTCTTTTAATTTTAACAGTTAAATTTTAACACATTTCAGCAAATTTATTCAGCTTTCACATTCATTTCTCCAGTTTTATTTTCAAACTTTTACTTCATGACTTCCTTTGATTTCCTTTAGCCTAACTGTGTTTTTCCTGACAGATGATGCCACGCGGGTCATATTGAAAAGCACAGACGACTACATCAATGCAAATTACATCAACGTAAGTTAGTTGTTCTTTTCTCTCTCTTTTATTTGGTGCAGTAGAAAAAAAAATGAGCTGAACATCCAAACACCTACTGCAGTGCTGACCACAGTGGGGAATATTAGACGCGTCAACTGTTCTCTTCACTCGGTCGGACGTTTTTTTAACCTACAAAAACATGTATTTGTGTCTGATGTAAAGAGGAAAAAATGTGTTTTTAAAGTTCATGTATGTGATATATAACTGGTGGTTCCATCTGTCTGTTAGGCTCTTTGTGATTCCGATGTATGTGTGCTAAAGAACCAAACAGGAAGTGATCTTAAAGGAGGATTTGCAATAAAATGATTTTAAACAGGCTGCATCATTGATCGCAGACCCTTAAACAGTCTTCAATCAATCAATCAATCAATCCAAAACAAGGCCTTAATTAGCCTTAAAATGTCTTAAATCAATCCTTCAGAAGTCTTAAAAATGTTACCACATTGCACATAGGATGATATTAATTCGTCTCAAATATTAAAATAATTGGTAACGTTTATTTTTTAAATATTTACATGCAAACATTCCCCTTTGACATCACTTCCTGTTACTTCACATGCAAATATCTCAACAACTGTCGATCCGAGCAACGTGACATCCGTTTTGTAATCTGTTAATGATGTCTTTCCAAAAATGCATTCATATTTATTACAAAAAAAATTGATGTCACAGGCACTTTAAGGTTTCAGCTACAGCAAGTTGGGGTTGAGAACCCACTGTGGGTCCTAAAACTCTGAATTTTGGGTCATTAGATGATTTCCAGCAATTAAATTAAGTTTAAAACTGACTGCAAAAAATGTCTTTGCTATATCTGACAAACAACATTTTGATATGGATAAAAACAATTGATCTATTAAAAATATTTGACTAATTCAACGAAAAATACTTCATTATTTTCTTCCACATTTTATTTTATTTATTTATTTGTCTTTTGTGTATATTATGAAATTGGTCTTATATTTAATTTCACTCGGCACTAAAAAATCTTGTTTAACTTGCAATAAATATGAATGCATTTTTGGAAAGAGAACAATGATAATTGATATTGCCAAAATAATTTTACACTGCTGTGATGAACAGTTGTTGAGATATTTGCATTGGAATTAACAGGAAGTGATGTYAAAGGKCAATGTTAGCATGTAAACAGAGCGTTGCTACAAGGCTAACAACACAGACCGTAGAGAAGAATCTGGTGTTTCTTTAGATTAGTTTGAGTCACAATCAAAGAGATGAAAACTCAGAGTTCAAATAAGGTTACAATAAAATAAAACGAGGAGTTACATTTCTTAAAGAATTCCCCTTTGATGTCACTTCCTGTTTCACTTTGGCTGAGCCAAATTCTGAAGAAAATCTGCCAGTTATGTGACAAAATGAGTAAAACTGAGTGTTATGCCAAGTTTCTTAAATATAAAGATGTTTTCTTTGACTTTTTGTATTTGAGTATTGTAGTCACTTTAAACTGTAGGAACCCTGAAAAGACCACCGTGAGCTTTGTCAACCTGGGCTTTGTTTTAAGTGTTCTTATATTTACCAGCATGTAAGCATAGCAGACAGATAAAATAACTACAAGTTGAGTTGTATAAAATAAGTGACATGAAAGCTTTTTCTTTCACTCTTTGGAGCAAATGAAGGATTTCCTAAGGAGACTTGGTTTGGTTCTGTAACGTTTGTGTTGTCTGATGGCGTCTTTAAACCCCTGTTTCTACCCTACAGATGGAGATCCCTGCCTCCAGTCTGATAAACCGCTACATAGCATGCCAGGGCCCACTGCCCAACACCTGCCCTGACTTCTGGCGGATGACCTGGGAGCAGGGCTCGTCCATGGTGGTCATGCTGACCACGCAGGTCGAGAGAGGGCGGGTACGTAATGACAACACCTGGAAACCAAACAGACTGTAATTCTGATCTCAATACAGTTAATATTTCATTAAAAAGCTCTTCTGGGAGCACGAGCTACAAATTACCATTCACTATAAATACTGTGACACTTTAATTGGAGCCATTCTTTCAGATTTATGTTTTCTTTGGAAAAAAACCCTAATAATTACAATAATTCATACAATTATTTATCATCATCGTTTGTAAAAGTATGCTGTTTTGATCAAACTATGTAATTAATAGTATTTTTTTAAGAATGCCGTCACGTCAAAGAAAATTGGTCGGCAGCTGATGTTTTTTTTTCTCCGTCGTTAATTTTAAAGTCTTAAAAGCATCATTACGTAACAAAGAAACCTCCAGAAACTGTGTCAAGTCGCAGACAGAAATATCTGCAGCGCGGCTCCTGAGCTTTTTATCTACACTGAAATATTCAAACGGTTCTACATGAAGGGAGTGTGTTTTATATGATGTGTTACAGTTAAAGAGTGCTAGTTGTGAGCTAAAACCCCTTTTCTGTGTTTTTATAGGTGAAGTGTCACCAGTACTGGCCCAACCCGGACAGCAGCGCCACCTATGGAGACTTTACAGTCACGTGCCACAACGAGGAGGGCAACTCTGCCTTCCTGGTCCGGGAAATGGCTCTCGTTCACACACAGGTACCCATAAACACACACACACAAACGTGTCTACCTACACATATGGGGACATTACATTGACTTCCATTAAATTTCTACAGCCTAACCCTCACCCCCTACCTTAAAGCTAACCTCACAGGTTAGTTTTATTGTACACAGGTACCTGACCCCAAACCTAATTCACACCTTGGTCCTAAACCAAACCCCCAACTCACCAATGGCTTTCAAACAAAACGGGGTCTCCGCTTAGGTCCCCACATGTAGGTGTTTTGTATTAAAATAGTCCTCATATGCCATGAAAAACACGTCCACACATGTTTGKTCTTCAACCCCATGGAGACCGTGCATTGACTTCCATTCATTTTTTTAAGACTTTATAGCCTAACCCTGACCATTTACCCTAAAATTAACCTCACAGGTACCCACCTGACCCTAAAACTAACCTAAACCTAACCCTCACACCCGTAATTTGCATTTGGAGCCGGTCCCCACAGGTCCAAATGCAAATTACGGGTCCCCACGAGGCTGCTTTTTAAGGAAAATTTTCCCTACGTTGTAGGAAAAACCCATTTTTGTAGCTGTATTTATGCGTAACCCAGACATTTTCCATAAAATTAACCATTACTGGTCTATAGTCTAACAATAGCTGCGTTTCCATTGCAAATGTGCGCAAAACTTTGTCGATATTCTGTTAATGTCTCAAAAAACACAGTTTCGCAACTGCAGTGTTTCCATTAAGTAAGAAATGCTATTAAAGTCCCTCGTGAATACGTTTGTTCTCGCGAAAAGTCGTTACAAACAAGGCGGTGATGGATGTAAACACATAGCATGTTGCTACCACGACACTAGCGCTCATCATCAGAGGAGACGTCGACGTCTTTTATCGAGTCTTTCCAGAGACAAGTCCCTACTTGGGAGYGGCTACGTATGCTGTGTTTTTGGGAAAATGTAGTCGGTGGTTTTACTACCTCTGTGATTTTACTACTACTTCTACTTCCTGTTGTCTTCTTCCTCGTCTTTTTCGCCAGTAATGCGAAAAAAGTGTTTCCATTGCAGTTTTGCGAAAAACATCAATTTCAATAAGGCCGAAAAACCACCTTATCCTAGCGCAAAAACATTTTGTCGAAAAACGTTAGTTTGTTCGAAATTGACGTGTTTCCATTGAGCAAATTTATTTTCGAAATTCTAATTTACGCATTTTCATGGTCAATGGAAACGCAGCTACTAACCAGAACTTAATTCACACCAAACCTCTAAACCTAACTAGTAAAGTACAACAGGGCTGCAAACAAAGTGAGGACTGGGAAAATGTCCTCACTTAATTACCTTTTCACATGATTTGGTCATGTGAAAAGGGGGATTGAAGAAATTTATAGTCATTATAGATTAGTACTGATGTTAGAAAACTACACCAGAGTATAGGGTTTCATTATTTTATAATACTTGTATAATGTTTGATCTATTATGTGTTAATTGAAATAGAGTAGATACATGTCCGAATTATAAACAACACATAAGTGAACCGTTTTAAAACATTAGGGTGAGGTCTTTGTCTGAATGCCTGTGATTCAGCCGTAGGTCAGTAGGGGGCGAACTCGGGCATTGAAGAATCGTGTATAAAAACATGCACTTCCTGTTTTTCATTCAGTGTGGTTTGGCTTGTCAGCCGGTGACAAATAAACCTCACTCAGATCCAGAATTCTGGTGTTGTATGACATTTATTTCCTATCACAGATCATTTTATTTAACACTTGTGTTTTCATCTGACTTCAGCCGATATTAAACACGTATTTTTTACAACCTCACTCTGATAGTAACTGTGATGCAAATGGTCCTCAAGTCTGTAGTAAAAACACATCCACACACACACACACACACACACACACACTGTTACTGAAGGTACGAGGTGACGACACCAAGTTGAGGCGAGGAGAGACCCCCCTGAGTCCAATCATAGACCGGGATCTGGCGGCTCGGGAAGGAAACACACACACACACACACACACACACAAAAAGAGGGATGGTTGCCATGTCGACCAGTGTGGGCTGTTCTTTTTCTGGCTGCCGAGCGCTGGCCGCACACACGTGCGCGCGCCCGCACACACACACACACACGTATGTAAGCTGGAAAATGGCGCGCGGTGAAAACAGAGGAGTGGGACAGGAGTCGGGAATGAGAGAAGGAATATAAATAAATAAATCAGCTTTGACGCTTATTTTAAAATGCGATGATAAAAGAAAAAAGTGTATCGCTAAAAGAGGCGGYAATTAGCATTCTCCTCTGCCTGTGATTGTTGCCATGGAGATAAACGTGTTGCCACGGCAACGCAGCCTTAACGAGAAGCGCGAGGGTCTGAGTTGAAAGAAGACACAGCGGACACTATCTGCTGTCTTCTTTGGTTTGTTCACCGCGCCGCAGCTGAAGGGATTATTTCAGGTCGATTTACAGAAAAATCTCATTTTGTATTTTGTGCAAATAAAACCGAATATATGAAGTGTTTTTAGAGGCAGATAAAACGTCTTAAAAATAAAACACGTCTGTTGAAAACGTCTTTTTATTTTCTCATCTTTCTTACAGAGCGAGCAGCAGAGAGAGCTCACTCAGCTCCAGTACCTGGCTTGGCCTGACCACGGTGTCCCGGATGACTCCACTGACTTCCTGGATTTCGTGGCTCTGGTGCGAAGCAAACGGGCCGGACAGGACCAGCCCATGGTCGTCCACTGCAGGTACACAAACATACATTTTAACACAAAGCGAGACGATTAATACGACGGAGTATTAGGGCCACACAAGATTTTTTATTATTATTTTTTTTATTATGAGAATAAAGTCATAATATTCTAAAATTAAAGTCGTAATACTTTACATTTTACAAGTTGCTCAACATTCCTCATTTTAATGCAGTGATAACTGCAGGCAAAAGCCTGCAGTTATCACTGCATTAAAATGAGGAATGTTGAGCAACTTGTCAAGTTGTTCTTTAGTTTTGCTTAACATAAATAGTTAATCTTTTAGCACATCAGCATCAAATTATCAGTAGCAGGACTTCGAAATTGTGCGAACGGCTATATATGATAAACTGAAGCTGTGTTGTAATTAATGGATGTATTGACAGATTGAGTCAGTATGTAGCTAATTTGGATGAAAGCATATTAATCTAACAGTGACCCAAGTCATCATTGACTACTTTATAAAGACAAAGACATGGCTGTACACAGCAGGTGTGGGGAAAATAAGGAGGAAACGAGGAACGGAAAATGGACACTTCATGTTAGATTGTGACTTTTTTTCTTGTAAAATTACGATTTTCTTCTCGTGATATTATGACTTTATTCTCATAAAATTATGACTTTATTCTCATAATATTATGACTTTATTCTCATAAAATTATGACTTTATTCTCATAATATTATGACTTTATTCTCATAAAATTATGACTTGATTCTTGTAATATTATGACTTTATTCTCATAAAATTATGACTTTATTCTTGTAATATTATGACTTTATTCTCATAAAATTATGACTTTATTCTCATAATATGACTTTATTCTCATAAAATTATGACATTATTCTTGTAATATTATGACTTTATTCTCATAAAATTGACTTTATTCTCATAATATTATGACTTTATTCTCAAAATTATGACTTTATTCTTGTAATATTATGACTTTATTCTCATAATATTATGACTTTATTCTCATAATATTATGACTTTATTCTCATAATATTATGACTTTATTCTCCAAATGTTATGACTTTATTCTCCAAATGTTATGACTTTATTCTCCAAATGTTATGACTTTATTCTCCAAATGTTATGACTTTATTCTCCAAATGTTATGACTTTATTCTCCAAATGTTATGACTTTATTCTCCAAAT